TTTTTTTTCTTTCCCTTGGAAAACATGCTAGCCCAAGCAAAATTAAAGGTTTTCTCCATTTGCTTCTTATTTCATTTATGCCTCTCATTCTTTTTATTTTCCTTAATTTGTTTTTAATTTTTTTTTTTAATTTCATCATTTAAGATATAAATCAAGTTGTGTCTGAATTTAACTTTAAAATATATACTGACTAGTTTTGTGAGATTAATCATATCTCTAAAATCGTACACTGAAACAAGTTAAAATTTTACAAGGAGATACTAGACATATATAATTATAATATAGTTGATTTTCATGTCAAATAAATTTTAAGAAGATATAATTTTATAAGAACAAAGATACTAGATAAATCTTATTAAATCTGTCAAACTAGACCTTTATTTTGTAACATATATGGAGTTACAAATAGAATATCTCTATGATTCAAGTTGTTTTAGGAACTAGAAATCTCAAGCTTGTCAACCATATATGGTAGGCCCAATAATTCATTCACATGAGAGAAAAAAAAGTATTTGAAGTTAGAATTGAAAACTTGCAAAAAATATGTGAAAATTAGAGATTCAGGCTTTTAAAGGAATTTGGCATGAATAATTCATTTATATTGTCCAATTTTATTTATTTAATTGATGTTGAATAATTATTTTTAATTTGGATTTTTTTTATTCACCAGACATTGTTTAGAAGTTTATTTTATTATTGCACTTATGTTATTTGATTTGTTAGTTTAGGCTTATTAGTTTTCAACTTAAAAGGAGTCCATTAGGGTTAGTTAGAGCACATTATATTATGTTTTTTTTTAGATGCAAATTTCAACAACATGTTGTAGAATAAACGTGATTTTTTCTTTTATTTGTTTGTGGCAAAATAACTCCTCTTTTTTTTTTTTGCATTGAGAAAGATTGCACACTGACTTATTGAAGATTTAACAAGTTTTGTGGCGTCATTTGCATACTTATAGTTCTTAGATACAAGGTTATCTTTGGATCCAAGTTTTTTTCTAATATCTTTGATTCTTAGGAACATGGTTACCTTTGAATTAAGGTTATATCAAACCTGATTTTCAGTTTTCTAAGTTGTTATTTACTTCGTTGGGAGTTGCTTGATCACATAATAAAAGGTTTCGCATTAATTTAGTATTTTTTCATATTTGAAATTTATATTAAATTTTATCCTTATTATTTTGATTAATAATTTTTTTTTTAAAAGTCATCCCTTATTATTTGATTTCATTTAGTTTTTACTAGTTAGGAACAAACCAACCTTTGTTTAGGCATAAAAATATAACAAAAGATAATTTTTTTAAAATAAAAAATATAATATTCAAGTAATTGGCTTGAGTGAATTTAATAAACTTTGTTGATTTAATAATATCTTTAGAAAATAAAAATATTGACAATAAATAAAACAAAAAAACATAAATTCAATGTAAAAGATGAACGCTTGTCAATATTATGAAAATATATCTTCATAGTATTCCAAAAACATCAAAATAATCTTATTTGTTAACAAAGTATAAATTAAATGAGAATATGATAATTTCATAGAAAAAACATGAATATAAAAAAAATAAGACAAAAAAATCAATTACTATTAACTTTTTAAACTACGATCTAGGTTATAAAATCAAAAACACTATATATATAAAAATCATGAGGGTAAAAATCATAAAAAAAAAAAAATCCAAAATAAAAAATACAATAAAAATAATGAATATTTAAAACTACAATGAAAAATAAATAAAAAAGCAACAACAAATTTTAATTTAAACTTTTGAAAGTTAAATAAAAAAGAATAAAAACATTAACAAAAGGATAAAAATAAACAAAAAAAATACATTATTAACTTAAATTGAAGGGTAAAACTAAAAATAATAAAACTTTTATAAAAGATTCGAGAAAAAAAATATCTAATCCTAAACATCAAAGCATAATAAAAAAAAAAACTAAATATACAGAATTCTTCAATGTGTTTTTTGCACTGAAAAGACCCCTAGATGTAAATAAAAAATCTTATGTGTGCATCTAATTAAACATCCCAATAACTTTGTGCAAAACAATGAAAAAAAATTCATCAACAACAAATAAAAAAAAAATTGAGAAAATTAAGCGATAAATAAAGATCAAGATATCTAATATCGTAATAAAGGTAATTTACCTAGATATATTTAATGAATTTTTCTATCAAAATAAATTTATAATAGAAAAATATATAAAATTTATTATAGAAATCGACACAAGCATAAAATTTATTGAACAATAATTAAAAAAAAACAATGCAAGGCTTTACATATGAAAAAACTTATAAAATAATTAATATTAAAAAAAATAATATATATAAAATTTTAAAAAAATCACAAATGAATCATGCCTACCTATTTAAAAATTAAACATACTCAATATTATTTAAAAATAATTACAAAATAATTAAAATATAAATCCAATATTTATTTAAAAAATATACATAAATAATTCAATATTTTTAAAAAAACTAAAAACTAAAAAATAAAAAAGAGAACTAGGGCAAACATTATTATGCTTGACCCAATAAAACAATGGTATATGAGTGACCTTTTATTTAAAAAATAAGTTTAATATGGCGGATGAAACATCGTCTGCCCCAGTTATTTAAAATAATAATGACGTGTTGCCTTAGAAACCTAGAATCTGACCATTGTGGTGTCTGTTAAAATAAAATCCTGTGTTTTTTCACCTAAAATCTCATTTTCAATTTATTTTTTATCTAAAACATCTAAAAAAACACTATAGACCTTGTTAAACCAATCCATGACCACCAAAAAGCTAATAAACCACCCCAAAACTCGAAATCCACCCAAAACAAAAAATCTTCTCAAGCTTAAATATGTTATTTTATGTGCTTTCAAGGTAACAAAAACACCTAAATGTAACACCCCTCGTCATATGAAATATTTTGAGATAAAAATTAAGTATTTTGGTAGTCGGAACATTTCCCAACTATCACTTTCTCTCTCTCTTACACGCTCTCTCCTATATAAAAGTACTAAAAAAAAATAAAGTTTAGTATTAAAATATGTTGTTTTCAAATTCAAGAGACTAATTATCTAATATTTAAAAAATATAGGGGATTGAAATGAATGTTTTAATGAAACTTTCAAATCACCCCTTATGTTAAATGAGATTTTCATTTCAATTCCTAGCTTTCAATTCAACCCTCTCCCTTGAAACAATATGCAATTAGGGGTTAATTTGGGCTTAAAAGAGCCAAATAGCACAAAATAAAAATATAAGAACTAAAATGAAAATTATCAAAAAATACATTGCTCCAATCCATAGTGTATCGTGAGAGAGTGCATAATAATTCCAGCACGGTAAAAAGTTGTTGCTTTTTAGTTATCATTAATGTTAAATTTGATTTTTATTATTTTAACTATTATTGTTTTTGCTTTAGTTTCTATTTTGAATTATTTTTCAATTTCATCATTCAATAGTTAATTTATTTAAAATTTGGCTTTCTTAATTTTTCTAATACGGTGATCTCTGTCTTATAACTCAGGTCACATGTATGAAATTTTAACCCATATTGATATTAGTTTTTTTTATTTTTTTTATTGATTCTATTTCTTAATTTTATCATTAAATATTAAGTTTATTAAATATTAAATTTTTTTAATTTTTTTTCTTGGTTTATTTTATATGACAATAACCGGTCTCATAGTCCAAGTTATATATATTCCATGTTAGCTCGGATTAACTTATGAATTTTACATTATTTTTTTTTATTTTTTTTATTTTCATATGAAATCTATTTCTCATTCTTTTAATTCTTTTTATTATTTTATAAAATTGATTTTCAGTTTTTAATATTAATTATTAAAAATTAAATTTTATTATTTTTTAAAATAATTATCCCCGTACTATGCTTCACGATCCAGGTCACGAAGATCAGATGTTAATCTGCGTTGATATTGATCATCTTTTTTAATGTTTTTGTGTACCTTTTTTTTTTTTTTCCGGATTTCAACTTTAGTTTGTTAAATATTATCTTATCCTGGGATTGATCATAATTTTTTTAACACCCCCTCGCTGTGCTTCACTAGTCAAGAGGTCCAAGAGACCTTTTTAGAGGTCATGCCTGTAGATCAACCAAGGCTGCCCTGGAAGGTGAGCATCTTGGTTTGGGCTTGAGGTGAGAGGGTCTTTATTTATTGATGGAGACGATGGTTTCTGTTTTAAGCCAACTAATGGGATTTACTCCAGGCTTATCTTCCATGATTTCCAGCTTTAAAAGGGCAGCGCAGGTCCCGGCTCGTCAAGAATGATATATACTCATGGTCATGTGTTTTGAGGTCTGCAAGTGATGCCTTCTGGCAACAATGTGGCCAGATTTAATGCAAATGCAACACCTTTGAGAAAAAAACTGAAACAGCGAAAGGGAAAGATCATTCTTAGAAGCCAAGCATATGCAGCAGGCTGTGATTTGCTTTTCGAAACAGTGCTTAAATTTCCCCTTATGAGCAATCATATCTTTCTGCACTTTGCGGGATATGTTACTTAATCTTTACTTATTCCTGTGCCCTATTGGATTCTGCAGTATTTTTCTATTTGTCTTGCTTTTACTGCCTTTTGGTATCAACTTTCTAGCTACTAATGGAATTGCCATGTAGCCTCTCCTCCTTTTCTTCCCTTTTCGTTGCATCTCTTCCCTCTCCCTCTCTCCCTCCTTTTCCCTTCCTAATCTGCTTACCTCTCTATTTTCACTCAACTATGAGCAACATAATTTTTGCAGGTTGAATCCGCAACAAACCATGTTGGTTTGTCTTCACTAGAAATTATTTCTCTCCTGTAATCATGATGGATCAATGGGGCAAGGATTGATCATGTCACTGATGTGTTGGACAGATTATATATATGCACACCATTTGTCAAAGAAAAAGAACAGAGTAATATGAAAATATAAAAAAATAAAATCCTAGAAAAGAAGAAGAAGAAGAGAGTATTAAAATAGAAGCAAGAATAAAATAAAGTAAAAACCCTAAAGAAAAGAAAAAGAAAAGGCAAAGAGAAAGGATTTTAACAGTGATGGGCAAGTAAATGAGTGAGAATCATGTGATCCACCTCCACTCTCTCTTAACTTTGAATCAAAAGAAGCCATGACAACAATGCTCATTAATTATTCCACCTACAGCAAACCACCCTCTTCTACTCTTTCGTCCTTCTCTGTCTTTCCTTTTCACTTTCACTACTCTTTACCTCAACTGCTAATATTTCTTCTCTCTTTGTTTGTATACATCAATGGCTTCTAGCGCTTCAAGGTTCATCAAGTGTGTTACTGTGGGAGATGGGGCTGTGGGCAAGACCTGTATGCTTATTTGTTACACAAGTAACAAGTTCCCTACTGTATGTTAAATGACCCATCTAACTACCGCACTTCTGCTTCATAATTTGTGGGTTTTTTGGGATGGTTTAGTGTGTTTTTCCATCTGGGTTTTGCTGCTTTAAATTTTTTTGTTTCTTAGGTCAATCTTTAATTTTGTCTCAGTATCTCACAAATCCTTTAGCTTACGGGTTTCGCTACTTGGATAAAGTATCATTTTTCATTCCTATTTTCAGATAATGATCTGGTGCTTGGCTTTATTTTACTTATTTAGCATAATTTATTTTATCTCCATTCGACAGTTTCTTGCTTTCTGCTGTTGTTTTTAATCTTTCATGCAAGTGAATAAAAAATAAATAAATGTTATTTTTGTTTTGGGTTGGCTAGGATTATATACCAACAGTGTTTGATAACTTCAGTGCAAATGTGGTGGTTGAAGGAACCACTGTAAACTTAGGCCTCTGGGACACAGCTGGTATGATTATTTGGACCGCTGCATATTTTCTTTTTAATCTTTTTTTACATATTTGTGCCTTCTTTCTTTCCTGAAAACATGTTTGCATGCCTGGGAATCTTTTATGATTCATTTGTTTCATTGATTTCCATAGGGCAAGAGGATTATAATAGATTAAGGCCCTTGAGCTACAGAGGGGCAGATGTCTTCGTCTTAGCTTTCTCACTAGTTAGTCGAGCGAGCTACGAAAATGTACTTAAAAAGGTCCAGCTTTTTTCCAATTTGTTATCACCTTACCTTTCTGATTATTTTTTCGGTTATATTTCTTGTTTATAAGTTTCAAGTATGAAATTGTTTGTCCAGTGGATTCCAGAGCTTCAGCATTATGCCCCCGGCATTCCAATAGTACTGGTTGGTGCAAAATTGGGTAGGTCTATTAGCAACCATCATTATTTTTCCTGCCTGATTCAATGCTGTCTATGAATATCTTTTTTTCTTGGTATTTGGCTATGTGATCCTGTCGGTGCTGTTTTGTCTAGGTTATACTAGTTAGTATTTGCTTCACTGTTGTTGTTACATATTGTTTACTAGGAGAATATGTATCTTCTTATCCAGAACTTGGTGAACTTACTGAAGGCAATTCTGACATGTAAATATTATATAATTTTGTCAGGCTCATTTGCATCCGCTTGATGATATAAGTACAGGGGTGAGACCAGGGTAGGTTAAAATAAGGACATGTTCATATTTCAAAACTTATATCTATCCCGAAGTCAAAATTTCTTGGAATTCATGCCATTGGTACGTTTTCATTGATTAAGAAGTTTAGGTAAATAATGACTTTCCTTGGTTACATTTTAGTTTTAATTGATATAGTTTATGCACTCTAGAGAAAATTAATGTGGCTTTGCTGCGGCCTATGATTTCTAGAACTTTTTCACCATTCAACCTTGAGCTTCAATGGATGAATCATGTAACAGTCACAAATTTTGAGCAGACTTTCTATACACGTATATATATCAACAACACCCTTCCAGTGGAAGGTAATGTACTATTTTTCAGATTTTGACTTTCAAATTCTTGAGTATTAGCAAGTAGGAGATAAAGTTTTTGGAAAGAAATTATATGTAGATCAATGTGTGTAGCTTAAAGATGCTTTCTCAAAGCTAGAGGTCTAAGGTTTTTTTATTGGTAATCTTTAAAAAAACTGAGAAAGAAAGAAGGAAAGGAAGGAAGAGGAAAGGGAGAAGTTTAGGAAACTACTGAAATCAATGGTCTAGTCATATAAGGGTTATTTTTGCTATTAATATTTGGATTTTTTACGAGGACATTCTTGAAAAACCTGAATCCCAACTGATATTTCTGCCATGTTTAACCATTTGCCTTCTTAAAATCGGTCCTTATTCTTCAGCTACGATAATTCTTCCTAGGAAACTAAGTGAATTTTTCCTTCCCTCGGTTGCCTCCCCAAATGAATGCCTGTGTTTTTTCAATTCTTCACAAACTGATACTGACAAACACATTGTTTGATTTGAATATGATGGAATAGCATAAAGAAATGATGTTCATAATTACAGGTTGACAGAACAACACTGAGAAGGTTTTTTCTAATATTGTATATTAATGGAGTGGCAACCCAAATAAAATGATTTTCAAGCTGGTGATGAAGCTAATGGTGTTAATGGAAAAATTACTAGCTACCTGGCAAAAACTTCAACCAATTGAATGTTGGTAAAGGAATGCTGAGTTGATTTTTGCATGCAACTGCATGAAAGGTGGTTTTTAAAAAGGTCAGGTCAGTTTGAGGAAATATTGTCTAGTTATGGTTCAACATGTACTGTATTGAGGGGTACACATTAAGAGGAGGAATGTTCAAAGCACTGGCCTGGTTATGAAAAGTGAAGAGGTTTTGTTTTGTCAAACTGGTTAGTAGCATTAAATGTTTGATTGAGATGGATTTGGAGGATTGAGGATTTGTTGTGTGATCATAAAATTGTTAAGGCCAGTTCTCAACTTCAAATACTTTAGCAAATTAAAATTCTTAGGAAATTAATCCATTATTTGTTAATTATTGTTCTATCAACTTCCCTGCAGATAGGCTGCAATGTGCATTCTCTAGTCTATTAATTCTTTATGCTATTCCATAACATTTTATAATCTGAGAGGGAGTTGTTCAACGATCTTATTAGATTGCAAAAGGCATGAATGTTGGTAAATCCTTTTTTTTTTTGGAATCATATCTGGCAAAAGTGAATAAGAAAAAGAAAGAAATATCAATCACTCTTGCAAATACGGACTTCTTTCCTTTTTTAGCGGGCCAAAATAATGGTGGTCATTGCATTTCTGAAAGAAAAAAATGAATAAGAGAAGGAACAAAATATTGATCATTCATGCCAATAAGTACAAGTTCTTGTGCCAAAATAATGGTGATCATTGTTTTTCTGGAAAAAAAGGAATGTGAACAGGAAAAAAAATGAGTTTGGTTGTTACCAATTTAAAGTTTCCTCTGGATGAATGAAGGATCTATAGATTATTTCTCTCTCATTTTATTCTGTACAAAATTGAGAATGTTCTCTCCTTTTGACATTTCATGTGATAGACCTAACTGGAATTGAATTTTGTGCGACAAGATTACTGCTCATATCAAGTCAAGGGAATGGCAATTACTTCTTGTTCTTGCTTCATTCCTTCCCTCTCCTTGTTCTTACTGTTTCCTCAGACTTTCATGTCAATGATTGTTGCATGAATAACATGATCTATTTTTTTTTGTAAGAAAAGTTGATTATGATTCCATACTATGTGGCTTCTATTTACAACTCAATTGTATAATTATATCATGGTCCTTTGCACTAGCTATTTTATTAATTTCACTTATGAAAAACATAATTCTGTCATACTGTCATGAAGCCTATCAGTCCAAGTTTCCTGACCAAATAGGAACTCCTGCCTCTTTGATGTCAAGTGAAATGGCATTGCCTCTTATGTCCTTGAAAGTACTAGATTATGAGCAAACTGATTGACATGAGCCGAGCCATTCATACTGCTTGTCCCAATCCATGATGTTTCATGGATTGACATTTAACCTTTATATTGTGGTGGTTAGCTATGTGAAGCACTGTAGATGTGAATCTAATGCAACATTTAAAACGGACATGTAGATCTTCGTGAGGATAAGCATTATTTGGCTGATCACCCTGGATTGGTGCCTGTGACCACTGCACAGGTGCAGTTTCTATTCATTGGTTGTTTATAAATTTTTTTCTTGGTTGTCATGCAATCAGCATTTTTAATGAGATGGATTATTATGATCAGGGAGAGGAACTCCGAAAACAAATTGGTGCAGCATATTACGTCGAGTGTAGTTCAAAAACTCAACAGGTATGCCATGATTTGGCAATATGTTGAACTTTATGAGAAGTACCGTGTATACTATCCATGATAACTGACTTGCCCTGCTAATAATTTTCTGGGTGAATTGCTCATATAAAGTTAAGTCTCCTAGATGAAAGGAGATAGAAAAAAGTACCAAAAATTTTACACCTGCAAGTGCATGCAGTATCTGTGGTGTCATTCTCCTGATTTAATGTTATTGTGCTTTTCTGGTTTACCTCTCGCCACAAATGCTTGGCAAAATTGATATTCTAGTTATGAAAATTTTGTACAGGGGCACTGTGTTATTTGTCATGCATCCTGACCATGCGACAGTCCCAAAATAACAAATTGCAGGCTGACATGTACTAATAGTTTTGATATCATGTTATTATTATCATACATGAATCTTGCCCTTCTACTATTGTGCCAATGATGATCTTTTCTAACTTTTCCTTCCAGGCATTAGATTACTTTATTATCATGTTGTAAATGACAAGTTTCATACTTTTGCAGAATGTCAAAGCAGTTTTTGATGCTGCAATAAAGGTAGTTATCAAACCAGCACAGAAACAGAAGGAGAGGAAGAAGAAGCCACACCGAGGATGCCTGTTGTCAGTACCATCATTTCTCACACTTTTAATGAGTTTATAATTTTTTGATATAGATATACAAAGTTTTCTGTTCTCATATTCTCTCCACACATGGATCTTGTGTATCTTGGTGTCAGTTATTTTGTGTTTTATAAATGTCTTCATTGGCATTTCTGAAGTTGCTTTTTTTTCTCAATCCCTTTTGCTTGAGCCACTGCCACCACTTGAGTAATCATGTCAAACCAAATGGAAACTTTTAATAATTTTTAGACTAGTAGTTTAAAGGCTCCTGTGGTCGTTTCTAACAAATGTAATTAGTATTCCTTTTACTTGTACAAGATTAAGCGGTTGGCATCTCAGTTGTATTGGCGAAGTCTTACTTTAAAATAGTGGAAAAGGAGGGCAGGGACATGATTTTTGTGGATGCATGGGAATGTCCAAGGCCCGTGTCCCTTTAGCTGCTAAAAGCGACCATCTAAATTACACATCCATGAGAAGATAGCGTTGGAAGAATGAGTTCAAGCTGTAAAGTCCCGTGGATATTCACTGGTGATTGTCAATATGTGGGTTCAAATAAGTACATATTGGAATGAAAAATAAGATTGAGAGTTGGAGAGAAGTCTTGTGGAGATAAGAGTTTGAAGAATAGTTTTAAATTAATGGAGTCTCATAGATATAATATTTATTCACTATGCAACCTGAGTTTCAAATGGTTGTATTGAGATTTTTATGGATGAGACATTGAGAAAGAAGTCTTATGGATATTTACTGGTTCATTGTGCAATATAAGGGTTCTAATAGGTGTATCGAGATCGAGAACGCTGAGGGCTGTATGGGAAGAGATATTTTTCATTAATTTGATGGAATGCGTGGATATTCATTTCTTAATTGAATCATGCTGCTTATGAAATTTCTAACTTATTCTTGATGCCTCTGTGTTAGAAACATCAATTGGTTTCTGAGAGCATGAGCTATAAGATACTGACACCACGTATATAGGCATTCAGCCCTCACCAACATGAGACAAGGCAACAGTTACTGTTTCTGTGAGCGGTGTCTTTTGTCATGTGTATACTGGCTGTCGTAGAGGGAGCATTAAGAATGAGCAGATATTAGGGATGACCTGATGTCCTGCCTACTGCTAGCTGTATGTCTTTTGTGATTGAGTTTGCCATTGTCACAATAGCCAGCTGGTTTCTCCTCAGAATGCATGCACATCGCTAGGGAATTATTAGAATGATTTCTGTCTTGGTGTCATTAACAAGCGCTCGTGTCTATGATGATATTTGATAGGCACCCCCGCAGAGATAAGTACAGCTCTCGTATCACCCCTTCATGTTGTATTTTATGCTCGCAGAATGTCGTGTTGTTTCTTCCCTTTGCATTGATAAAACTAGCTTCCCATTTTTGCCAATTTGTTTCTCTCATGTCTGCTTCCACTCTAATCTTCTATATTTTGCTTGCGTGTGCTAATCAGAATCCTTTTTCTTTTGCATGATTTCATGTGAAATTCAGAAATGTCTTT